ATGCATGTATTAGGAACTTCTACCGGTAGCTACTGATGACCTGGTATGACCTGTAACATGGGGACTAGCTATGTGACCGCAATAATGTAGCTCTGCAATGTGCTGCGTGTTGCGTGCTACTGAGAAAAACTGAAAGAGCGTTTGTTGCAGGAGAGCCATAGATTTGGGTTCAAGTTCTGCGGCAATAGCTGCTGCGAAGCCTGCGATACAGCGAACGACGAAGGGAAACGCAATGTGGCTTATTAAAATACTGCATCAGAAGGCTTTGCTTTGAACGCGATCCGGGAAAGTGTAAATACGTACGTGTATCTGGGACGGACCGACTGCACCAGGCACCGGCTACTTTTTACCGGTTCGTACCTGGAACCATCGCACAAGAGAAGCATGCATGCAGGAGCATCGCGATTGACGCCAAAGAGAAGGAAAGAACTCCTTATTTGATGCATGCGGACACTCGGAACATGACATTACACATTTACCACTCCGATCCGAGTAGATCTAGTCACCAAAGATTCATCAAGTACTCTAGAGGAGTACGGCACGTCTGATCTAAAGTACGTCGCTTTCTGTCTTTCTGTAAAAAATGTGTTATGGAAGCTTTATGGATCATGCATGGAGCAACGGTGTAAAACTGCATTGATTCGATTCTCATTTATTTCCCATTCAAGCTTACTCAGTATTTTATTACGATATGCCATAGTCTGAGGTCTTAAGGTAAGCATGTGCACATAAGTCTAATAATTTGGCGTCAAATCTCAATATTATTATTAACTACTGGCCACCCAAGGGCAATGGGAAAATTAATGGGAAGCTGAAACATGAAGGGCAAAGGGCAATGGAAAAAGAGGAGCTAGCTTGAACCATCACGAACTTGACTACTGACCAAGCACTGTTTTAAACTCTAGCTAGTACTAGTACTACTACACAAGCTGCTACATGTATCCAGTACATGTGCGTAAGAGCTAGCTAAGCAAGCCAGAACGGGAAACTGACTGGTAAACTTCTACTGACAGGTAGGTAGCTAGATACCACTGCTGACCTGTGCTATATTCTACAGCTCGTTCTGCTCCATCCTTGTTGATCCTTGATCCTTGACCATTGATGAGCAAGTATGTTTCGGCGAAGTGGCTGCGGCCGATCAAGCCCCCAAGCTAATAGATGTTGGCTCTGCTCAACCAGTGATATATGGTGCTTTTATCACTGCACGCTTTTTCATCTTGCTCTGGGTTGCTCTGAAAAGCTGCGTGTGCAGCGTATTGCTTTGTGCTTCGTGGCTCCGCACCTGCCGATGCCGTAGATGTCTTGGACGATTGCCAATAATTAGTTACTTTTTAATAGCGAGTAGTCAACAACCAGACATGATGCTTTTTCAAAGCAAGGAAGGCCAGGTAGATGCCTCTCCTTGTTTTCGAAATACGGCTGTACGCTGTACGCTGGACTGGTTCGAAGCTGCATGCTCGAAGTTCCTAGCCAGCTACTAGCCCTACCGGTACCTGTAGTTGCGTTGGTAGATACGGGAACTTCTAGCCAGCCACTAGCTACCGGTAGACAAGCAATCTTTATCAGATGAAATATGGAGGTTGCTATGAATTAACATTGTAAGGTATCTAGATGTAATGGTGAATGCAAGTCTCTTTCTATGCTGCCACGGCTGTGGTGGGAATCCCCGAGACGACCAGGTTCAGGCGCAACTCTGCCATGATTTGGTCACCTAGCATCATCATGTAGGGCGTCCTTGCAGAGTTCAGCTCCTGTTCCTGTTGGAGCTTTCGGAGGAAGGGGGAGAGCAGGCCCAGATGCTCCAATCCCCGCCGAGCCTTGTCCACTTGATGGCGTGTAACCAAGATATGGGTAATGTTGTTGAGCACCAAGGCCCTCAGGATCTGCATGGTCTCGTGGTCTTGCGCAGGTCCCTGACGCATGGTACCTCCAACTTCTTGAATAATCTCCAAGATGTTGTGGTAGAGAGAAAAGGCATTCTCCAAGTGGTGAGAGCCGGGTAGCTGATGGTACGTCAGAGCGGTATTGAAGATGGCTGCGGAGACTGCCAAGGCCACATGCTGGTGAGTAGGACGGGTGGAGGGCGGAGCAAAGATGAGGCCATGGTTGTACCGGAAGAAGCACCTTGTCTTGCTGTCCTGTTCGGAACATGGCACTGCCTTGGCGGTGAGGGCGAGTGGGCGTGCAAGCTCTGAGTAGGACTCGCGGCTACCAGGTCCTTGCCTCTCAAAGTCGTGCATGAGCTGGGAAAGCATGCGGAACGCCAGTTTGAAGTTGTGATGCGCTCGTTCTCGGTTGTTGCAGCTTAGGAAGTGAACGCCGTAAGTGTTGCATCTGGCTGCCTCGTAGAAGATGGCGGTGGTGTCTTTCTGCTGATGAAGAGATGTCATGGTGATCAATGTTTTGAGAAAAAGGGATTGCCGCGGGAGGGTGGATACTAGCCTAGTAGAGCACTCAGAATGTTCATGCAGACTTCAAAATTGTGAGATCTATCTGATCTGATAGTTCGAGTGGGTTTCGAGTGCATGCAGCAAAAGGGAAACTACAGACCACTGTCTCGGTCGGAATTTATTTGCCCGAAGGCCTACTACCTACTACCGTACTGGACGTACCAGCAGTCAGCAGTCTATTGCCTTCGTTCAAGTCCACCTGGTGAAGTCAGGCTACAGTCGGTATGGCCTTTGAGTGACAACCGAGTGACATTGCCCGCTAGAACATTTTGAATTCGCAAGCACGAGCTACAGAACATTCCAGGAGGCTTCTCTTTCTGTGGTCATATGACCACATACATACTTTCCGAGTGAATCTTTATATCCTAGCTATTTTATCTCATGAATGCTAAATCTTAAATCTTAGTCTCCTACTACTAGTAGTTAGTAGTACAATTTCCACTGACCTGCTGACCAGAACTTCTTACTCCTTGAGTGACCACAGCACCTCTACATGACTACAAGTTAAATCTTGAAGACGCCAGGAATCTCAGTAGAAACTTTCCAGAAGCTCTTTCACTGGTATCAACATTGATCAGCAACTGTCTGAATGACGTAACAGGAGATGACGTTGTTCACCTTTTGACCAGTCCAGGCAGTGTTTTAAAACTCGAGTTTCTTTTTCTCCTTTGTCAGGACAATTTTCCAAGTCTGAGCCTTGCCATGAGCTTGATTTACAGACATTCATTCAACCGTTTTCATGACCTTGAGAGCACTGCACTTATCGAACATGTCGCTAGGACAGTACTAAATCTTTACTCACACAATGGATAGCCTTGGCTGTATGTGTAAACTATGAAGTGAGCTCTTCAACCGCAGATGAACTGGCAGATGCTGCAGAAAGCTCTGAACCGGTTGCAGAATTGTTTTTTCTGTTGTCATTGGTACCTTGTAGAACTGGCAGAGCTACTCTGTACGTAAAACTGTACATACAAGTGTCGGTACAATACTCAGAGTTAGCAGAAATAAATCCGGGTTCTTTTGATGACCACTGAAGGCTTGTTCCTACCTCACCTGTACTACGACATAGGAACATTCTCGGAAGGGTTCCTACGATCTTCTGGAGGTTCTGCCACATACATGTGTGAGGTTCTGCCACCAGAGGTTCTGCCGCCCGGGATTGGTTCCCAGTTCCCAGAGCCACACCATCGAAACACCGAGTTGCTGGTGTTGGCATGTTGGCATGTAATCTATTGCAACCTCCACCAATACCGGTACCTGGTACCTTACTTCTCAAGGGCGCATCAGATTTATTTGCTGAACTCAGCCAAGAGTTAGAGCCTGCTATGACCAGCATCTACCGTAGCTATCAGCAGCACCAGCAGAAGCAATCTGATAATCTTCCGCAGACAATCCCAAAATCCAAACCATTTCCAGAACACCCAACACCCAATTCAAGGGCATCTCAATCCAACATCCACACATACATTTTTTTCTCAAAGTTTGGTCGGGGGTTTTCATTTCATCATCTTACTGTAGCCGTCTAGTTAGCCAGAGTCAGGGGCCGGTGGGGCGAGCACTTGATAGAGCCACCGGATTGAATGGTGGGGCGAGAGCGAGGAACCGACAGAGCCACCGGATCGATTGGTCAATTGCCGTGATGGGCACTTGCTTGACAGATCATTGGTTCTGTCTGTTGTGCAGAGCTTCGCCTCGCCACTACGAGCATACCATACCGTCAGGTCGGTCAGGTCGGAGTGAATAGGTCGTAATGGCCTCATTCTTGTGCGGCTTGTTTTATTATTGAAACTTTCTTCATGTCACGGTCTCATTAGCAGCCAACGTCCAACAGCCCGGAACGAACTTTTTGTTCTTCAACGAGGCAGATGCATTCTTTTAGTATCGTTATGCCCACATGCCCCCGCTCTCTTTTCTTTTTTCCGATCAATTCAACGTTGAGCTTGAAGTAATGTACCCAGCCAACACATCGATCTCGGGGAGGGTGGAGCGACGATTGCTACTAGCTACTACCTACTACCTACCGCTAGTTGTGTATTCTTCTTGTGCAATGAGGTTCCAAGTGGGTACACAAGACCAGCGCACCAATAGCCAACGCCTATTCAATGTTAGCTACAACTGTACTATAGTTGGCCGCTAGTTCAGAGAACAATGTGTTGTACTACGAAACTGGCAATTTACTAGCGCTTCTAGCCTGATCACACTGCTTCAGCAATGCCAGGGGTTCCAGGGACAAGGATCTTCAAAATTTATTTGTTCCAAGATGTGAGCCCCAAGGAGCTATACGTATAGTAGGGCGTTGTCTGAACCACGGCGGCAGATCCTTCTTCCCCCGCAGGCATTTTTTGCTGCTGCTGTTGCACAAGCAAAGGTGTTACCTTGCGCAAGTCTTCCAATGCCCAATGCCTGCATGGTACCGCCAATGTCTCCTTGAGAAAGGATGTGAATCCTGTTGTTGAGTGCCAAAGCATTCAGGATATCGAGCAGATCTCTGCAGCTCCCAGTATTGGATACCTTGCCGTGCCGTACGCCACTCCAACAGTTGCACGGACCAGCTGATACAGCTTCAAGGCTTTGTCAGCAAAGTGTTCCCCTCCGTGCTGGTGATACATGAGAGCAGTGTTGAAGATGGTAACAGTTGCAGCAATGGCCAGATTCTGCTCGGAATTGGCAGCCTGAGACGGAGGAACAAACATGATGCCATGGTTGTAAACATAAAAGCATTTGGTCTTTGAGGCGTCTTTCCCCATTGGTATCGTCGGGCCGAACAAAGCCATGGTAGCTACTTCGGGGAGCTGCAGAGTTTGCTGTCCACTTCTTCGACTTTGGTTCCACTGAGCTGGGCAAGAAGCCCAAGGCTCTCCTTCCTCCTTCAGCTTCTGGTGAGCTTTGTCCCCGCTACCGACGCTGAGGCAGTGAAGCCCACTGGCATTCAGCAACGAACGCAGCCCTCTGGAAATGACCCGCAGCTTTCAGGGATAACCAACATGGTAGAAGTCAAAAGAGATATCGTTGATCTTTTTGGCATGAAACGAGAAAGTCGACCTAGAGATAGCGGAGCAACACCCACTTTCCTGAAAGCTTGGGAACTTTTTCGTAGTTTGGTGCATGGTTGCTTGACAAGCAGAGATTGGTTGCGATTGTTTACCACTCTTTCGTTTTGGTTGGAGAAAAGAGGCAGAACCCAGATTTGACACGTAAAAGAAGAGTCAATTGGGCTATTGAGGCGTTGGCAACGAAATATATTGTCGCGTTGTGATGTCCTAAACCCGCTACCGTAGCTGAGCTTCCTGTACCAGGAGCTACCAGGTACATGTACACGTTTTTAAAAGAACCTATTAATTATTAATTAATAGCTTCCGCTACACTGTAGCGGCAGCAGTAGTCAAACTAGTCAAACATGACGAGTTTGCTCGGTGAATGAGTCTCGCTGTTGGCTATGACATCTCCCTTGCAGCCATTCGATTCTAGATTTCAGTTTCAACATTTTGCTCAAGTTTGATGGGTGATTGAGAGGAACAAGAAGAAGAGTTATTACTAGCTGGCTAGTAGTCATAGTGTGATTATAGAAACTTAATTGAAGGCAAGTGCGAGATCCGACTCGTCAACTTCTCCACTTTGGCATTGGCTCCCCATTCCAAATACAGTTCTTGTGCTGCCTGGAACATTTCCTTCGCCTCTGAGTGGTTGCCTCCCTCAAGGTAGAACTCACCCAACCGTTCAGATGCTAGAGCTTGATCTTGCACATTCCCAAATCTCCCATTCAAGACAATTGCATTCTGATAGAGATCCACCACAACACTGCTCTTGTTCTTCCCTGACAGTGCAGCTTCCTCGGCGTTCAGTAGGCCAAGATACCCAGAGCAGTTGGGGTTGCCATTCTTGAGCCATTTTTTGAGCTTTTTACGACACTCTCTAGCATGTCTTGCATACTTTTTGTTCTTGGTGGATCGTGCCATGGCAAAGTAGCAAAGACCAATCGAATACTGCAGGACCTCACTGTGGGGCAGTCCTACTTGTTGCTCAATCAATGGCGCACCATACTCTTCAGCTAGGTCGACTCCAACTTGATACTCACCAAAGTAGGCTGCCAAGAGGATTCGAATGGTGATGGCACTGTACACGGTGGGCTTGGCAGTTTCACAAGAAGAAAGTAGATCTGCTTCCTTCATAGCTTGGCCTGTCAGTTCCGTGGTCGAGATGGAGGAGGGGTCTCGCAAATTCATCACCCCCTGGAGCACGGGCAGCAAGTACCACACTGTCACCATTTGGAGATAGTCCTCCATTTGCTTGATGTAGATGGATGATTCCTTTTCAATCCCCACAAGAGGTCTCCCTGTAAGGAAACTAAGAAACATGACGTAAAAGGCACAGTAGAACGCGTACTCAGGGTCACCACCCTTCATGCCACATCGATACCCATCCATCAGAATGGTGATAGAGCTGGCATAGGGCTTTGTCCAGTGCATCACCATCATCCCAACGAAGAATTTTGTCTACACAACAGAGCTGCACGGTGAGTCGATCGTCCATGGGAGCACTGTCCGCACAATCCTCTCTCGGTTAATAGCAGACCCACCTTGGCTTCCACAGCCCGACTCTCCACCCTGCCCAGCATTTCGAGAGCCTCATTGGCATATTTTGTTCCATTCACAACATCCCCCACAATACATGTCAGTACGAAGCCAATCTGTGCCACAGCAGTTGCTGAGTATCCGTTAATCCCTCGTTGCAAGCTTTGGTGAAAGATGGTAAAGGCACAAGCCACAAATAATTCGGGACGGCCCGTGAGATACCCAACAGTTCCAATCTTTTCAATCGTCTTGAAGGTGGCCAGTTGCAATGGATCTTCCGACTCGGGTAGTTTCTGCATGGCTTGAATCGTTCGGCATGGATTTCGACGTGCCTTCATGATTCCAGTTCCCATACAGAACAGAATAGCAGGAGTCTTCTTGGGCACCTTGACTCCTGTATTCTTGAGTCCGGCAAAACCATACTCGAATGCTTCTTGATGATTGTTATTGGCCAATGCGGCATCCATGAGGATACTGTAGATTCGAGTACGAACACTTACGGGTGCCGTTGGTTCGTTGAGCACCTGTTGGCAGTAGTCCTTCATGTCAGTATAGTTGCCAATGCAGTATTCGGCTTCGGCTGCCGACGTGCACAAGGTCAAACTCAAATCAAAATCCGTCGTCCAGTGTTCCTCCTTGGGTAAGAGTTCCTGTGCGGTTCGAAAGTATTTGGTCGCCGCTTCGAATGCCGAGTAGTGCACGGCCATGGTCCCCGCCCGGACATGTACTCTGGCAATTTCTTTTCGTTTGGGATGATGCGTGTCCAACTGCCGCGCCTTGGTACTCATCAAGTTGGCAACGGGAAATATCAAACTCCCCAGTGCCTCTTCGTCCCCGAGCTGTGTCATTAGCAAATCCCCAATCTGGAATTGTGTTTCCGGTAAATCCTTTTCGTCAATAAGTGCCAGTGCGGCTTCTTGTACCTGCAACAAGCAACAACATTCCATACATACATCAAAGAGTGGTCAGACACCACCCGCAAAAGAGAGGGCAACGAACCCTTGTTCGTAGCCACTTGCATATCCTTATTGCTTATCAACATGGTCATAATATATAACTCACCTTATCATGCGCAAAGGCAAAGACATCTCCCGGACAGGCATCCAAGAATCCCTCGTCGATGCATTCCTGTAGCATTTGTCGCACGTAGGCAGGTCCTCGTTGTTGTGGATCGATTACGTTTTCATTGTTATCCATCATGGTAACGATGCAATAAATGGCATCAAAGGAGAATCGTGCCCCCAAACAGGCCGCTTTGGGGAGCATTTTCGTGGCGACTCCCGTGGATATTTTTTGTTGCAAGAGCTGTACGACATTGGTAGTCATTTCGGATCGCAACTTGACTTGTTGTTCGTCCCATGTCCAATATCCCAATCCAAAGTTGTACGACAAGAGCCGGGATGTGGCGAGGGATTCCATGAATTGAATGAGATAAAAGACATTGCCACGAGTCTTTTGATAGACGACGTTTGCGAGGGATTGTATCCGGTGGGGTTCCATGGTAAGGGCATCGGCCATTAGTGCCGTGACACATTCCGGGGACAAATCCCCTAAATGGAGTTGGAGCAGTTCAATGGAGCGTTCTTGCTGGACGAGTTGGACATCGTAGAGCATTTCATCGACGGATTGATGTTCTTCGTTGGATCTGTAGCATCCAACAATCATGAGGGATTGGTTTTCCACGTCGGTAATCCAACTCTTGACGAGATCGAGTGATAGCTTGTCAGACCATTGGACGTCATCGAGTACAATGACCAACGGCATGATATGGGAGAGAACCTGTACGAAACTTCGAAAGGCAAAATTGAGTTGATCGACGGATTCCTTGCCTCCCAGTATGGTGGAGCGTCTCTTTTGTTGTGGTTGCTGTTTGCGTTGCTGGGTATTATTATCGTGTGATGGACTGGAATTCTTGTTCTTCATCTTTGTGAGACGATGACGACTGTTCGTGTTGCTGAGGAATCGACTGTGATGATTGCTGCCATGGAGACTGTTGCTCATGTCGAGGGATGCCGTGGAAAGGTGTGATTTGTAGCGATCCTCTTGCGATGACTGTTGTGGTTGCTGATGTTGTCCCATGACCAACTTAAGAGACGGTACCAGGTTGGATAGTAAGTCTATCGTTTCCGGACTGAGCTGTTCCATGAGTTTGGCTTGAATGGTGGCAAACTTTTGCCGTTGTACCGTTTGGACCATTTGATTTTCGGACGAGAATTGTTTGAGTTGCAGTATGGAGTGACAGAGTTGCGTCATGGCAATTTGAATGCCACTGTAGGGTTCTCCCATTTGCTGCAAATCAAACTTGCCGAGTACATAGATTCCTCCAGCTCGTTGGACGGGTTCTTGGAGTTGGGCGGCCAAGGCCGTTTTTCCGACCCCACTTGGTCCATCCAGCAACACCAAAGTGCGACTCTTTTGGTCACCTGTAACTTGTGTCAATGCTTGTGTGAGTTGCTCCATTTCATGGTCTCGTCCGTACAATCCCAAACGATGCCACTGGAGTTTCTGGAGCGACATGGATTGTGTGAAATCGTTCGCCCGCTTGGAATGCGACAGAAACGCGGGTTCAATGATATGACGTTCGCTCTTCAAACTCTTCAGTAAGTGAAATCGATCCCGTTGAGCGGGAGACGGAGGAGGCATCAGCAGCGAATCCACAGCATGGTCCGACGACGACGACGAAAAAGCGAGAGAGGATGCACGGAACGGATTCTCATTGTCCACTCCACCAGTAGTACGATCCGTCACACTCGCATCGGGACGATCACTTCCGTCGTCTCTCTCCGTCAAGTCGTCTTTGCCCGTCATTCCTCCTCGATTACTGCTTCGACTGGTAACACTGGTAGCACTAGCACTCATACTGCGAAGACTGTGACTCTGATGATGGCGATCCAAGTACTTCTTCATTCTTCTCTCAACCACTCAATCAAAACAAGCTAGCGTAGTCAGCTATACTAATGGCTTGGCTTTGACTCTTCGTGCCACTGGGGTGATTATGCAAATATCCCGACCGCTGCTGAGAGAGCTTCTAGGAATAGTCGAGCGGGGTTACGATGCAGGCTCCGAGGGCTTGGTGCACTGTTGGTTGGTCCTCCGGAGAGGGGAGAGACCGGAGAGGTTCCCGCGATGGTCAGGTAGTCTAGATGGTGGAGCGGTACGGTGTGAAACTGAATTTCTGGCTGGTCTACTGGTGATACCGGTACTCTCGTTCGGTACTGTACCAGTTCGCGGAAGGTGGTGAAATTGCGTACCAGTGGTATGCGGGAATTAATGTCTTCGTTATAACTTCAATCTATTAATACTAGTACAACAAAGTTTTAACGAAAACTAGTGTAAGCCTAGTGGCACAAGCACTTATTTGAAGATACTTTTGGTTAATTATTGACTCAGTTTCCAACCGCATTCGCCTGCCTGCAAGCTTCTCCCAATTCAGTCGAGGGTCGAGGCCTAGTAATAAAACTCACGATTCTATTCATAGATCGTTGTTTCCGGGGGACCGAAATGCATAAATCAACATCGGTACGGTTTTAAAACATCTGTATAAACCATGCAATCTAGCATGGATCTTGAGTGGTAAGTGGGAAGTGCGGCGGGAATTAGCAGGATAGAGGAAGCTATAGAGGATCATTCAACAAAGAACTCAACCAAAGTCGCAAAGTCAACATCAAGCTGCGAGGCAGTAAGGCTGTGAGCTGTGAGGCATTCGTGAGCAATGAGGATGGCTCAGGGATACCGTTAGATGGATAGTTCCAGCTTGTCGCTCTTACATGTAGACGACCAGGTACCGGTACCGCTGGTAAAGCTGCTGGCTAGCTAGCTGGTAATAACTGGCTCTTTATTGATACATGGCAACCAAACCGGTGACTGGCTCTTCTTTGCTACATGTACTTTCAGAATCGAATCACACACAGCGGGTAGAGTCTGGACGTCTGGACTACCAGTACCAGAATTCTGGTAGCTACCATGATCTATTGGCTCTCATTGTCGTCATCAATCTGGCAACCAAATAAGGTGGAGTGCTGGTACAATTTGGTCCACGAGAGCAACCGCAGTGGTGTTTTTCAATCGTTGAATCGAATCTGATCTGTACCGGTGCTTGGTACAGGCCAAGGTGTTTGCATCGGCCTTCCTTGAGATAGTCCTTGATTGCCTCTTCAAATCTCCCAACAAGAATGTCATTGCAAACACCCCCAAGAGCAGAGCTGGAAAGCCAATGCCTCATTCTCACGGTGGAAGCGTCTTGCTTTTTCGTTCAATGTCATGTTATCAACTGGCACTCGGCCGGACAGGTGCATAATGGAGAACTTCTCCGCCGTGTCATCGAATCTTTGGAGGGGTAAAGCTCAGCAAGAGCGACTAGCTACGAGTATGTATGCCATTCCAATGTGGCCAAGGCTCTTGATGCACTTGGATCCCATCACCCAGAACCCAGTCATCGCGGCCATTGACTTTGCATTTCGTCCACATACTTTCGACTGCTTATTGCAGCAATGGGAGCGTGGCGACCAAATGAACGTGCCATCACATTGGCACAACCACTACCGGTGCTCCCACTTCCATTTTTCAATGTTGCTCCTCTCAGGCTGCAGTTCCCCACTTTCCTATGGTTCCCAATGGTCGCCGGGCAAACGGTCGTCTCACGAAGCATGTAAAAGTTGCGTCAGGACAGTCAGTGGTGATTGGCAGGACGAACTCCTACCGGTAATTCAAGATGAGTTAGCTATTGATCCATGCATTGACCAATTGAGATATTCCGCTTCCCATGGTGTTACTCTTGTGGCATCGATCTCAATGTGCCTAGCTAGCTAGATAGCAGAGTGGACAATTTGTCGTACCGGTATGGGCAATAAAGATGTCGTTGGAAAAGCACTCAAGTGGGCGACGCGACCAACCCGAGCGTTTCCGTTCCGAATTCCTAGGACCCCGAAATCGGTAGGGTTAAGGCTTACCAAAGCGACATTCATTTTGTCATTTATTTTGTCAGAGAATGTCCATTGTTCCGTGATGCCTTCTGACACCACGGAACTTCCGTGATGTCAGAAGGCAGCATCCTACCATACACTCTCTGCCATGCAGTCTCAAGGTGTGGTCGGGAAATGTCTCTTGCAGACGCAGAGAAACCCCTTTTTAAAAAAATCTATGAGTCTAGACTAAAGCTTTTGTCTTTTATGCATGCAGAAAAAGATGCAGTTCGGTCGTACGTGTACTAGCTGCGCTGTACCACCTGGTAAAAAGTAAGTGCTTACAAAAAAACAAAGTGAAAGAAGGGATTTCAGCAATCGCGGACATTGCGATTCTGAGTCCTGTAGGTAGTCTACTGGAAGTATTTTAAGTCTCTTAAAAAAGATAAAGGGGGGTTCAGAGTAGGTAGATTATCTACGGAAGGATACTAGCACAGAGCCAGAGAGCCATTGATTCCAGCATAGAGCCATTGATTCCAGCATAGCACAGCAAGCATCGAACTGGTACCGGTACGGTGCCACTTGAAACGCCAACGATTGTCACTGTGCACAAAGCCCGACGGAGCTTGCGGAAGCGAGTAGATTGAACTGATTGAGTGGTTGATTGTATTGAGAGTCAAGTAGACTGAAGCAGTACTTGGATCGCCATCATCACCGTCATAGTCTCCGAAGCATGAGGGCTAGTGCTACGAGTATTGGTAGTAGAGGAACGACGGGCAAAGATGACTTGACGGAGAAAGACGATTGCAGCGACCGTCCGGAAACGTCGACTCCGTTCCGTGCATCCTCTCTCGCTTTTTCGTCGTCGTCGGAGCATGCTGGGGACTCGCTGCTGATGCCTCCTCCGTCTACCGCTCAACGGGATCGATTTCACTTACTGAAGAGTTTGAAGAGCGAACG